TCAGCCTCCCAGTGAGAAATAAATTTCCGTTGTTTATAAGCTACCCAGTCTATGGTATTGGTTGTAGGAGCCCAAACCGATTAAGACACACCTATAATAATTGAGGCACACAGTAGGGCTATATGGTTTCTGTGTTACCAATGGGCTGCTTTGGGCTTTCCCAGGATGGCATTTAATCCAAGTACTATATGGGTGAGGATAAGACTCAATCACATGCTCAAATAATGCTGGCTGTATTTTTCAGCACAAAGATTCCAAGATGGCATCCAACAGTGGTACACACTGGGTAACAAGGAAGAAATCCCAAACATACCATGGAATTTTTCACACTCTGTAGCAAGCGCTCGTGCTGCTCAGCAATTGCCAAGGCAGCAGAATGGACCTTCTGGTAGATGGCCTCCCCATCGCGCGTCTGAAAGATAAACAGCCCTTCGCCAGTCTCACACATCCTGTGAAAACAAAAACAAAAAGATTCTGAGAGTCCAGTCCCTAGCTGGTCCGCACACTGAGAGCTTAGGGCGCTCCAAGAAGCTGGACCCACTTGTTTTGTATGGGGTGTGGATTCTCGTTTCCATCTGCTAAAAGCAAAGTTACCGAGAATCAAAGTTTCCGATGAATTATTAATACGGGCAAGGAACCAATCACTCTAGGCTGACATGTGCTGATTTTGTTGATGTCATTGTTAAGAAGCAAAGTGGGAGGTTAATAAAAAAGCCATTTGTTGATTTTTTGCATAATCCCCATACTTCACCTTGCCACTCTCAAAGAGGGTACCCCTGCGACTGCACTCCCCTTACAAAGCAGGAATCAGAGCCTCATCAAGAACCACTATTTAGCTCAGAGTTGAAAGTAGGATCTTATGATGCTCAGAGTCTGGTCTAGCTTCCTTACCGACAATGCTTTAAGGATTCTTTCGTTTCCAAAATCAGACATCAAATTTTCCTCCAGCTTCTCAAAATGATGGATCAAACGCAGCTAAGAAATTTTTTTTTAATGATCATTGATTGTGCTGAATTAATGTGTGGAACATAAGAGAATTTCCTGAAGGAGAACTATGTGGGTTTGATAATTAATGTTAAGGATTAAGAGGTAAATCATCTGCACCTCAGACTATTAAAACAGGAATGAACTCCATCAATAAGGGGAGATTGGTACACACAATTAGGCAAGAACCAAATAAATGGTTTTTAATTGCTAAATATATTCTAGTGCCTGTATATATAATATATGTAATGACTAAATATATTTGATTACTCTAAATATTTTGACATGGGCAAAATTATATGCAAGGGTATTTTTAAAGTTCTAATTTTGATATGTACATATATCAACAACGCACGAAGAGGTTGTTTTTGTTTGTTTTAAGCAACCTAATTATTCTAAGACAATTCCACTCCTTTCATCTCAGAATCGCTTGCTGAAAAACTGACCACTAGCTTTAGTGCCTGATTTTTGCTCACATCTAAAGAGCTGTTTAACACAACATGGAAACCAAGCGAATTTTCAACCCAAACCACTGTTGATTATTTTATCTATCCCAGTCTATGCAATTAATGCAATAAAAATAGAAACATTCATCNAAGTCTGGGGAGTTTTACAACAGTGGCAGCTAACAGTGGGTTAGGGCTTCCTAATAATGAGGCTAAGCCCAGAGGTTAGTTTCACCATCTTTCTCTGTTTATGACCTTGGCTATCTCATAGAGGCAAGCCAGCAGTGGCATAAAGGCAGCTCCTAGTTGAGAATACGAGGTCTGACAACTAAGTTTGTGAACGTGTTGCGACAATATTGCTAAACTTTTTTGATATCAAAGGGATTGTTCATTATTAATTTGTACCAACTGAACAGTTAACCAAGTTTACTATTTGGAAGTGTTGAAAAGCCTGCTTGAAAAAGTTAGACAACCTGAACTTTTCGCCAACAATTCATGGCTCTTGCATCACGACAATACACCAGCTCACATGGCACTGCCTGTGAGGGAGTTTTTAGCCAGTAAACAAATAACTGTATTGGAACACCCTCCCTACTCACCTGATCTAACCCCCAATGACTTTCTTTCTTTACCTGAAGATAAAGGAAATATTGAAAGGAAGACATTTTTATGACATTCAGGACATCAAGGGTAATATGACAACAGCTCTGATCATGGCCATTCCAGAAAAAGAGTTCTAAACTTGGTTTGAAGGGTAAACTAGGCTCTGGTGTCAGTGCATAGCTTCCCAAGGGGAGTACTTCAAAGATGACCATAGTGATATTCAGCAACGAGGTATGTAGCACTTTTTTTGATGAGTTCACAAACCTAATTGTCCGATCTTGTATAGCCAGCTCTGTATGGAGCCATTAATAATTACCAGAAAACTCAAAACTGTAGCCTAGGGCGGGTGGCCAGTAGGGCTGTTAACCAAGTTTACTATTTGGAAGTGCTGAAAAGGCTGCGTGAATAAGTTAGACAACCTGAACTTTTCGCCAACAATTCATGGATCTTGAACTGTTGACAGCTTCATCGTTTCATTTTAGCATGGCACCTCTTTTCTCCACTGGTCACAAATTAATTCAAGTACATTTCTTTTAATCATGTCACAATCCCCAGTTTAACTTCCTTGAGATTCAGACCCCAATTTGAAGCTTACTCATTTCCATCTAAAACAGGATGTTGTTGCTTTAAAAGTCACATTTATTTTCTAGAACTCGTTAAGCATACACTGAATTAAAGAGCAAACATTATTTTCCAGTTAAATTTGTAAGGGGATGATCTGAACGAATTACTCATAATCCTGATTAATTTTTAGCAGAAGTAATGAGAAGGTTGTAAATGGAAAAAAACATGTATAGGCAGAACCTGCCTTTCAAGCACATAACAATTTATGCTAATTGATAGCTTTACAAATAAGGTAGTCTTGAAAAAACTTCTTCAGATGTTTAAAG